TTCATCAACCCCTTCTTTATAATCCGCATTTTTATCAAGCGACCAAGAACTGAAAAAAATTATTTTACAGTATAAAGCAGAATTCAAAGTTTCAATGATTGAGTTACATGCTCATCAACTTTGTTTCCGAGCGTGTAATTATGAAATATGCTTCATATGGTAGTCTTCTATATCCCCTTTGGCAAATGTGTCGACTGAATTTCATGTAAAATAACTCCACATCGAACCAACTTGACGCATAATTTGATTGATGGACGCCCTGTTCCGTGATTCGGTATTTTTAGGGATGCTTTCATCTAATTCTTGGGTTATTAAGTTACTTTTTTGGACTTCAGTCACTATTCAACGCTTTAAAAAAATTTTAAAACCTCTCAGCTTGAGTCCTGTCTCTGGAATGAAGGAAAGAATTTTTCCCATGTCTTTATAGTCTGCATTGTTATTTGACTTTGAGTATTTCTCAATCCAGATTTCAAACGTCTTCCTGTCAGCATAAGCATATGTGCTTGCCAGTCTTGTCTTTTCTTATACAAGCGGGGCTATGAGAGAGAGTAAGTTCACCTTCGGGCTCCGCAATGCTTAGATCAAGTATCTCTGGTCGGCGCGGAAGTTGAAATCGGACTAAAGTACTCAAAATTTAATTTTCACATCCCGAATCTCCGTGTTATGATCCGACCACAGCGTTCTCTGAGACAATCACGAAAGCTGAAGTACGGCATCGGGGGGCTTTGATCCCGGCGAAAATGCCGCGAAGACCGCAATTTTCTGGTCCCGCGATGTGATGAAGAGCCGCTCAGCTGCGCGCTTCTTTCGCAACCCACATTTACCCAAGGCGTTTCAAACGATTCCACGGAAAATCCCCCGGGCTTTGACCGAGCGCTGTTGAGAATGCATGCATAATCTGGTCGGATTCAGAGAGATCTCCGGTAAACAGTAATTTGTTCCCTCCGAATGCATTCGCACTGATACCAGGACACGTCGCGCAAATGGAAAGCAGCTGATTTGCAGTCATTTAAACCACGACTTTTCAACCTTTTGGTGAATTATTTTGTGGTCATAGCGACCTAATAGCGCTTCCCCATCATTTTATCAGTGTTCCTTCTGACCAAGTGCCATCTGCGCAGATCCGTCCCTCCATTTAGAATTTAGATTAAAATACACCACCTTTACATATTGGTCCTCAGGATGTAGAGATCCGGAGGCATGTGAATTGTACGCATGGCAGTTACGTAATTAACATGCTCAATTTTTCGATAAAGCATGCACGTGATCTCCCTTTCAGTTGGATTTGGCTTTACTGATCGACTTGAAAGTCTACATCTAATATCTGAAACGCACTCTGGATGAGTTTACTCTATGAAAATCCCGCGTACCACCTGAAAAGTGCCGCGAGCACCATTGGTGGTGGTACGCGACCATCCGTTGCAAAGCTTTGTTTTTTATCCGTGCGTTAGATACACACCGCACATTTACAATTTTTTTTCCGTATAGAGTTTGATTTTTAATTTCAAAAAACATCGCTCAACTTGTTCACGTGAATGTGTCGAGGAATCTGTCTTGGGGATTTTTTGCTTGTATTTTTTTCAAGAGGAAGCGACGAAGTAGAGTTAGTGAGGTCTCAGAAGGAGACGGGCGATTGGGCTTTGCGTGAACTTGTCAAATAGAGAGGGACTCTTTCTCTTATTTTCGCTTCAAGCAATACTTACTTGAGCGTTTTCGAGATTTTCGCCGAACAAGCAAGTACTGTGCAGTACTAAACTCTTATTCGTCATTACTCCGATTTTCTACTGTAATTGAAAAAAGTATGTCTGTAGCCCGATCGAACCCCTTTCTGCGCAGTTCCCCTTCCTCTCCACCGTGGCACTTCATGCGAGAAGGATGGGGTGAGTCCCGAAATTGTGTCGAAAATCAAATAGTCACCAAGATCTCTCTATATTCGTCCTGCGACATCATAAGCCCCTGAAATTGAGGGGAAAATGAAGTCCACACAGAATCTATCAAATTCGTATCCAACTTTCTGTCACGCTCGCGAATTAAGTTCTACTACAGAAACGACTAACGAGCTTAAAAAACGTTTTCACTTCAGAATATCGCGCGAATGAAGAGATTCAAAGGGTTTAGATAAATTTTTGCGCAAAGCTCGCAAGAAAAATGCTGCCAATTGAACATTTAACTGCGTGAACCATGATTAAACTTATGATTTAAGTTCGCCGTGAAATCTTCGTAAGTTCCGAAATATAGCGTCCTCTTCGACGATTCTCGGAAATTTTTATTTAATTTACGAAAATATGGCGGATGTTGATGCTTCAGAATCATGGGGATCAGAATCGGAACACTGCTGAGTTCCCGCGGTTCTTTTATGAACAGCACATAAATTCCGATGATATATAAGATTGCAGTCGGCGTGATGCTGAACGATTTTAGTTCTGTGATTAGATCGAGATTTTTGCGAATCACTGAAATGCGGTTAGCAGTCAGTTAGCGAGACGCCGCGAAGACGGAAGCCTTTGCGTGGAAAAGAGGGGTAGCATTAAAGTTCCCTCGAAGACCTTTCATTTTCATTTTAAATGAAGAAGTCAAACGTAATATTCATTTTAATTTTTTGAAGGAATGCGAACGTTTCTATGTTATGGCCCGCTAATTTTCAAGGAACATTGATGAAAGTACGTTCCTCCAGAAAGACATATGTAAATTTCTTCCCTAAATTTCATGGTAGTTTAATTCATCATTGTATGTTCGAAAAAAGTAATATATGTCCAACAACAGTTTTTTTTCAGGGTTCCAAAATTATGATGCTGCGTTGGTTTCGCGAGTACGGAGTTCATTTCCTTGGAATGCATGATGCGAGAAGGGAACTCTAAAAGTCTAAATTCTGTAATTCAAGGACATCGTTTATTTGGAGATTCTCGGCGTTGTTTGCAGACGAGGTGCACCTGATCCCATGATCTTGCCTGCTTATGCAGCGAACGTAGCATGATGAAGAAGTCGGAACAGCCTCGTTTTTCGCGGACGTTCAGGAAACTTAGCGACGGAATTCTTTGACAAGGATCTCAACGGAAGTCCCGAGTGAATTCCTGCCGCGGAGTGCGCATATTCAGAATTAGGGGAGCGGTGCATTTGCGATTCGAGAAGTTAGAACCCAGAGATCAAAGTATTTGAGGATTGCGGAGGGATTCCCGGAGGGGAGATTAGCATGAAAGCAGCGCGACTGCGGCGATTCTAAGGCATGAATGCCCGGCGTTTCTCTATAGGTCTCTCATCAGAAAGTGCATCAACATTTTTGCGACAGTTGCGCCTTGCTTTGATAATGCTAGGAAGAGATGACGAGGCGGAGAGAGAATTGACCATAAAAGGAAAATTTCCTGCGTCGAAGCCAATTATTCGCCAATTACGTGATCTTTCGATTATGAATTCCCCCCTATTTTATAAATATCGAGATGAATTTAAAAAAACAAAGACATTATTTTGCCTTTCAAAAGTAAAGATGACATCGGCTCCCGAGGTATTGTATATTGTAAAATGAGGATATGCCACGTGAAGGAAATAACCTCGGAAAATGGAACCAAAAGCAATGAATTTTCCCACATGAAGATTGATTTTCAACGAAAGACAGACACCTCGCAACAGTCTACCATTGGTTACAAGTTTAAGTAAGTCGATGGGGTGAAAAAGTGTTCCTATCTTAGCATAGGTGGATTTTACTTTTCAAAAGTTTATTCTGCCTGGCTATAAATTAGCTAACTTCTCTTAGGCTGAATTCTAAGGAAGAGAATCCAAGGGAAGTGCATTATTTTTTACCAGGCATTGTCCATTACCAACAACGTATTTTCTGTGCTCCCAGCATCCCCTCCCCCCCCCGGAAACAAGTACCATCGCAAGCCAAATACTGTACTCTCAATACAATAGTAACACACAAAGTGTAACGACGTGAAAAAATCTAGTTTTGCTGTCAGGTCCGTGTCTTGAACAAAGAATAACCATAGCTAATAACCATGCCTTGGAACAAAGCAGGTATTTATTTGAGGCTACAATGTACATCAGTTCCGTATTAATCATGCGTCCTTTCGTTCAGGAAATTTATACCAAAATGGCGTGCGTAAACTGTAAAAAAAAATTTTAATGCACGATATACTTGGATCACAGGATCAATTAACACATTTTTTTCAAGTAAAAAATGTCAAAAACGAACCAACAAATTTAGTTTTCTTTCATTTAGCTTTTTTAATATTTACAGCTTTTATTTAATAATTTTTTATTTACATATATTGTAGATTTTGATATTAATGTTCTTTATCGCCAAAAAATTGAGTCTGTGCTTGATGCAGGGATACATATCTGCCCAAATATTTCTCTGCAAAATCAAAGTGCGCGTCGTATTTGTGGGCCTGTATTACTTGAGTAAATGCGGTAACTGCCATGCGCATGTATTCTTTGGGCTTTCGTCCTATTTTTCCTTGTTTTCAATTTTGTGGACGCGCACTGTTTTGGGACCTGGTCAACTGTCGCGGCACCCGAACTGAAACCCTGTTGCGCGGCCCTGAAGATCGCATCTTGGGAACTCCTCCCGGCAGACGGTGTTCCGAGTAAAGGAAACCCCCGTTGGATGAGCCTTGTTCACATCCTGCGCCTCGGTGAGCAGCAGCGGGAGTAATTCTGGCTCCTGTAAACGTGCTCGGAACTCCAAGCGGAGGCAACAATGCCATTGAGGTCAGGAGCTTCCTTGAAAGAGGGTCGAAACTCTGTCCCGGTTCCGTCTTGCCCGGGATCGCGTCGCACCCTGCTTGACTATGGCGAAAATTCCGTCGCCTCGATTCTCCGGCTTGAACGTGACTTCCAGCGGGCAATCTCAAAAATTTGCGGCTCGACGGGTTTTCTCGTGCATTCTGCATTTCCGTCGATCAGCCCTCGTTTCCATTCTCGATTTTCGAGCCCCAGTTCTCTCGAGAACAACATCCAGTGCACCGTTTATAGACCACCCCGTCATCTCGATTCCCTGCTCAGTCATGCACAGCTTGAAGCTCGCGAAAGGCTATTTCGGCAGCTTTCATAGGGGAGCTGTGGACGCGTATCCGAAGACCGCGAAATTCTCACCGTTGTTGGCATTCCTCCGCTGGAAACAAAACGCTGGAGATCTCGAGTTTCACACGTGCCAACGAATAATTAAGGAGGAATCTGTGCGATGCCTTCATTTAGTCGCCCTCCGGAATTCCGGGGCGTGGGAAAATTCGCGGTATGCGCATTCGCTTCGTGAATGTAGCGACGCAAAGTTGCCGCCTAACGCGCGATTTTCAAGATAGATCATCGGGAAAAGATTCAATAGATGTGCGATACATTTAGATAAAGCACGATTATTTGGAACAGCGAAGCACTGCTTCCGGCGGAAGGAAACGCGAATTTTTGGGATCACGCTGTCTTCCCGTTGGTCTTGATACCCTTGAAAGAATGAATAGTTTCGAACGTGTTGTAACCATTCACCTCCTCCGCAAGAATTATCATTATTCCTTGTTTGGTATTTGAAGAGCAAAATCGCGTCACGACGACGCTGTTGAAACTTGGAAAAAAACGTCATTGTTACGATAAATTCTTTATAAAGTGATTCGAGTATCATTAGAGCTATTCGGATGGGACCTGAAAAACGCGTTCGTTGTGAGCAATAACTTTTATAATGAGATTGGTTGTAAAAAAAAATCTACTGTAATTGTAAACCCTCAAAAATGGGAAATGACCTGGAAAGGGTTTCATTGTCGCTTTCCATATTTATTTAAAGACGTAGATGTAATCGTTCATTGTCCGCTTTTTGGTTGGCCGAAGTCTGATTTGAAATATTTTACTGTGTATGCTTAAACCTCATTGTTTTTAGAAGCATCTTCAAATTTCTTGACGGCCGCGAATAAAGGCACAAATTTCCCATACAACTTTATTTAGCTGTCTGTTTCAAGGATATGGCTTGAGGAGCCTCATCTCAATTTTGAAGGATTCCTTCATTAATGCAACGACAAAGAAATGTCAACATGCGAAATTTAGGATAACTACGTTTTCTTTCGTGGCAGGGTGACGAGGCATCGCATTCGATCTACAAAAATTTATTTTTAGGAGTCATGCATCGTCTTACGTGTATACTTGCTTGAGGGTGGGACAGGTATATTGCAGAACAGTGGAAGAGAGTAGTTGTGTCCACCGCAATTTCCTTGTTAGATGTTGGGGGGGGGGGGGGGGTTAAGGGGCGCCGGCCGCCGGGGGGGGCCACTGGGGGGGGGGGGGGGGGGGGGGGGGGGGGGGGGGGTTAAGGGTCGCCGGCCGCCGAGGAGGGCAACGAAATCAACCAGGATTGATGAGAGTGTGCATGTTGATATTATATGTGTTCCTCGTGCCTGTGACACTTCTTTGGGCAAAAAGATGTGTCTCGGTGAGACGTTGGCCCTGGTGTTCCCCTCCAGTTTCGTCTGAGAAGCGCAGCATGCCGAGTTCGTCGTTATGTGCGTCTCTCAGGTGCTATTGCGTTTGCAGAAAGTATCCAGGCGCCAGTATATTGGAAGGAACGTCTGCAAATATACCGCGGTTCCGCTGAAACTTTCTTGCGCGAAAATAGGTCTTGTGGTCGCTGTTGAACCACTTCCTCTTCGCGATATCATCCACTCTAGGGATATGTGCCTTAAATCCCGCAAATTTCACTGTGTTTACCCAAAAATGAAACATGTTTTCCTTCAAAAACTTTGAAGAAAAATCGTGACGTTTCTCAAAATTGAAAATAAATGAAATATTGTACGGTGTGCTTGAGAGCTCCATGTCCTGAATTAAAACCTAAGCTCCAGAAATATATTTTCAATCGTTTAACCCCCCACATTTCGTGAAAAAAGTTATGGTAAATGAAGCAGGGTTAGCATCGACAAGCCCTCCTCTGATTCCGAAGAAACTGGATGCTAAGGAAGTGTGTCTAATATTAGCTAGCGGAGTAAATTATTACATTTACATTTTCGAAACACGCAAAAAAATATAGATGTACACTTTGTAACAGACGACGTCTTGAATTCGAGTAAATTATGTATTTCCTGCGAACTCTGAACGAAATTAATTCCCTCGACACTTTCTGAAGGAATGTTCGCCGAATTTTCTCCGTTAATCCGACATGAGCAGGTTTTCAGTCAAAATCCGTAGTTTCAACGAACCTTGAAGGAAAACTCGCTTTGAACCACTTTTGGAACTCTTAATCATTTAGTCGATCTGCTACTCGGCCAAAAACAGGTCTTATCGTCGTCGTACTTTCAGCATGAGACTATTGAATAAAATAAAAACGAACCGGTAAAATTATTGACATTTATTCCAGGTGGATCTCAATTTAAATATATAAGGACAAACAAGCAAGGACCTATGCTTGTTATCAAATGTGGGACCCCTCTTCGATCCGAGAAAAAAAATCCACCAGAGGAAAGCCGTGGAAAGCGTGATTTTCGTATGATATTGATTTTGAAACAAAAACGGGTCTTCCGATGGCCGCCGAAATATTTCGTCCACAGGTGGTCATTCACACCAACAATCTTCGCGTTTAACGATTTGTATTCCAGGCCGGGTGAAAAAAAGGTCGAAAAACTTTTTGGAAAAAAATATTCCTGGAAAATTTGAAAGTTTGGCTCAACGAACTAAGTGAGGAAATTTGCTGGATTTATTCGTCCGTGTAACACCACGAGTTCTCTCGGTGTTTGCGGCCTCCCACTGATGTTCGCCAAGTTGCGAATCATGCGGTGGACTTGCCGTGATTTCAAAGTTGCAGCTAAAGAGGTAAAGTTTTGCGTGGAAAGAGGCAAGTTTTAACACCTACTGTTTGTTCAGCGCTGCGTATATCTGCTATACTCCTTGTTTCTGAGCGAAACTTCCGAATAGGACTATACAGTATTATTATCCGGAGGGCTGATCTTGTGCGGATAGTCGTCGCCTGGATTTTACTGCATGGGTTATTATTGTTGGAAACATGTGTTAATTTTCCGAGTAAGCGGGAGTATCGCAGCTCTTTTTGACAGACTTTAATTTCAAAGGATCATCTCCGTCTCCGAACTTTAGGGGCAGTACTGTTGTTTTATTTTATTTAGGACTGATATGTGTACAGGAATTCAGCTGCTTTCATTCAATTGAAATGAAGCTGGAGGCGTCACGAAATTTTGCTTTAAATTTCAAATTGATCGCACCCCTCGGAATGGATCATGTCTATTGACTGAGGCATCGCTATTAACGTGCAGTGGGGCTCCGAGATGCGGACATACTTGGTACTTGGACTTTGTCCCTACGTTGGAATGTCCGCGTGTCGGATCACATTTTTCCGCAGACTTCAATGGGAATATATTTAATTGGTTCTCGTGTTGATCAGAAATTTGGGAACGACTGAATCAAATTATTTTTTCAACTTCGAGATACAGAAAAAAAGAGGGCCGAAGAAAAACACGCATGATGTGGGATCTTTCCGCAGCAAAATGAGCTCAAATAAAAAAAAAATAGTTGAGTCTTCTTTTACTTTGCTAAGATGATGGAAAGAACTCGGAAAAACGAAGCACACAATCAACTTTTTTTATTATTGAATATATTGAAATTATGAAACTTTTTTTTAATTTTTGCGAATGATAAACGTTCCATTTGTTCAAGAGATTTCAAATTTGTGAAAAATGAAATTTTTTATTCTCTAGAAATGTGGGTACGAGTGCCCGCATCTCGAGACATGGTCCAGATGTCGGGGCACAATTTTTTTCAGTTTTAAAGTGTCCCTAAGTCGAATTGTCCGTATATCGGGGCGTCGGCTTGTCGGAACCCAACTGCATATCCTTGGAAATATGCGGGAACTTGTGTCGCACCCTTGCGCATCTTACCCCATCCCTGGCTCGCGGGATAACGTCGTCTCGGATTATTGTTGCGTGTCGCGAGAGGATCGAAGGTGTGTGCCCTGGCGGACAGCTCGGAAAATGACACAAGGATCCTGTGCCGAGATAACTCTGTTTTGTCTCGGCTCACGAAATGCGACAGGGCGATTTTTCACTCGTCAGCACATCACACGATACCGAAAACCGATCCGACTCCGCGCTTATTGATCAAGCAAATGAATCCTCTCCCTCTCTCTCTCTCTCTCGCTCTTCCGACCTCATTGTTTTTTCCCTCCTCGCATAGGAATGTCGGTCTGGTTTCGCACTACAATCTGCAACGAGATACCAACATTTGAGCGCTAAACACTTTCCCGCGAGCCCAGCCAGTCGCCGGGCAATCCAGAGCAGAGTGAAACCCACTGATATTTTATTCAACGACGCCACCTCCTGGATTCTCTTCGCGACTGTCTCACCTACTTCGCTTCCATGTCTCGAAATTTCACCCAGGATTTCTTTGGAGTGCACTTGAGTACGCTCTTCATTATCCGGAATTCGAAAGTGTCGAAAACTTGGTCGGAACGTTGACATTCACTCGATTGTAGGCCACATAATTCATGCCCGTAAATGCTGGTGCGATCTAGGCTCGAGGTTGCGTCTCAGATTTCTGCTGACTCCGATTTGAGTGGAAAAAAATCATTTGAAGTTCAGGAATTATCAAAAAATTCAACGTTGCTCCATTGGAAAACTGCCGATGTTTATTAGCTTTCTGAGTCTGAGAACGGGTTGGTAAAATTTTCACGGAAATCTTCTCCTGTTTTTATCCAGACCGTGGCCGTATTTTTTTCAGTTATTCTTTGCTTCGTTCCCATGTACTGTAGTTCATTGTCGCGTGAATGTGGTGTATTTATAAGCTTTCCTGGTTCACTTTTTTGTTGGTTCTGACTGATCGAATATGCCATTGACTCTGGTCATTTCAAGAGAAATTTCTGTATTTATCTGCACGTCTTAGAATATTTAGGAACGTGATGAAAAGAATCCTGAGGCAGATTTTACTTTTTACGTGGACGGAATTTTTTTCAGGAAGTTCCAAATTGTCTGGCTCAAATTTTTATAGGGTCAAGTGCCCAAAATTGGGTTCGGCCTATACTCCAACTTCATCTTTAGTCGACGAAATACGGCATTTAAAAGCATTGAAGGTTTTTCTTTGAAGAAAGAGAAATTATGTCATCTCTTCGGTTTAAACTGTTGAGTTTGTTAGTATATCTCTGAAAGAAGTACTCTAAACGTTCGTTGTGCACGGATTTACTTCAGACGCCATCCGTTTTCTTTCGTGCGGCGAGTCGTTCCGTAGGAAAGAACATTCGTCTTTCGCATTGACCCCTCATTTCCGAGCGTTTCCCTATCTTTGAACCCCCGGGTCGGATTTTTCTATACTTCTTGCTGAGGCCTGAGTGAATACTTGATGAGTTCCGCGTTTTTGCCCCGACTTCCAGGTCGGCTCGGAAGCCGAAATTATTCTGCGTTTCTACGAGTGGTTGAACGTTCCCTTGGGCCCCTTTTGTCCAAGGGAATGGGAGAGTTCGAGGGAAATTCATTTTGAAAATGCTGTTCTCTGGACTCCTCAAGAAGCGTGTGACAAGCGTCTGAACTAATTATTCGTTTAGTAATGGTATCCTCGGAATGTTCAGCCTGGACTATAATTATCGCTGCAAGAAGCAAGCATTCTCTGGGTGATTCACCCACTACGCGATCCACGGAGACGTCTGTGTTTCGAGAAGTCAAGAGCATGTAAATTTGAAATATAATTATTTCAATATACTGTATTATTGTAAGAATGATTCGTTCAGTAATTGAATCGTGTTCTCAGAACATCAAGTCTCGACCATGATTATCGCATTCAGCGGGTGAGTCACCTACTACGAAACCCCCCAATACGCTGGTATTTCGGGAAATTGTGGTAATTATGTCGTTTCAGAGGAAGCCTGGATACTTGGAAAGAATGGCAAAGATTGTGTTTGGTTCCTAGAAGCGAAAAAACATTTTCGATTTTTGTTGGCAGGCCCGTTGTGACCGGCGCCTGGGAATTTCAAAAGTTAGGGGCATCTCCTGGCATAATTGTTATTTTTCGTCGAAATGGGAAAATTCTTGCAACCGAAGAAAAACTTGTCTTGCTTATCTTATGACTGATGGTTATTTTGGGGTGTGTGAAAAAAATGGCATTGGCCCTGAAAAAAGAACCTCCGCATTCTCCCCGACCTTCTCAATGTCCCAGATCCTTTTGTTCCTACGGCGAGAGAATATTTTTACCCTGTCCAACCTTCGTTTACGAAAACCTCCATAATTCTGTGTTGGGTTCTTTCATTCACTAGTACAGTACTCGAAAGCGTCACGTTGTTTCCTTTTTTTTTTTTTTTTGGGAACCAGTGAATCATTCTGTACTCTGAGAAACGCCTTTAGATTGTAGCTTTCACGTTTTCATCACTGTAATCGTCGCATTCAGTACTTCTGGGAATATCCCGGAAAAATGGAAACCATTCCGAATGAATGTCGGGGACTTCTGTCGCGAAACTGTGCATTGTATTCCTGCAGCACGGGCGGGATGCATAATAGTCTGAACCGTCCATTAAGCTGCATTCGTCGGAATACTATGTGTTATTCTGTCCTGAAGAGAGCGATATACAGTTTTTTTTTTATCGCGAATTGGCCGTGTCAGACGAATAGCACGTCCGGGGTTAACCCAGTATCCAATGGAACTGCGATTTCACTTCCGCTTGCGTGAGCCTTTCAAATCAGTCCAATTGCACATGACATTCTAAAAGCCTTTCCGTTTAGTTTGTTCGTTAATCGTCATCAGAGTTTCAGCCTTTGCGTCGGAATTTAATGAAGCCTTTTCTTTCCAATGAATGAATGGGTCGGTCGGCCTTTTTCGGGAAAAACAACAGTTACGGTTTTTTTTCGCAAAAATGTGGAGCATTAAAGCTCGAAAATACGATTGCAATTTCGGACGCGCGATTGTAATGTATATATGCTCTAGCAGTCTAGCTCATACTCATATTCGTGAGTAACCCATGGTACAATTTTATAATAAGGGTTCCAGAAGGAAGTGACCCGGAAGTAGATGCCCGAACAAAATGAAAATGCTAGGAATCCGGATTTTAACTCAATTACAAGCTCAAGTTAGTTGCATAAAAAATTTAAAAAAAAATAATAATGTATAAATTCATATTCCTAGAATCTTGGCCTTTTTATGTCATTTATTCATTCATTTAATAAAAGAATTAGAGGAGTGGGGAGTTTTCTTTGTTTACTCACATGTAAAAAAACTCTGAACCACTGTGAAAATTTGAATCCACTGAGGGTATGTCTGATAATATTTTTTTTCCTATTGCGGTTTTTATTAAAGATATAATTATAGCTTTGGTGTATTGTACAATATTCACTTGATTCGTTTTTGAATATGTTTTTTTCGCAACATTTTCTCTTGCATAATTCGTTTCTATGCAAATTTTCCCGTCATTGAATTTCGTTGAATCTTCTGACAATGAAGTGAAAATATTGACTTTGCAAAGGAGCAACGATTATAACTTTCTTAATACTGTACCTTTACTTATGCAAATGTCCAGTAAAATTTTGGTATCGCCATATTTTGCAGAAGAACTAAATAAGCTGCGGTGCATATATGGGGGACGGGAGAGTAGTTATGACTTCGATGAGGTAATAATATTAATTTTCCCCCGAAGTTTGCAGATACGTCTTTGTGTCTGTGCTTCTCTGTGAAACTTGAATGGTTAACTGGATTTCCGCTTTGACTATTTTACAGTACTGCACTTTGATTGATGATTAAGGACGTCTTATATACTGACGCATTTGATTCCAGGTTCTTCAACTTACGCTCATTTCGTGTTCCGGGCATTTGACGCAAGTCGCATCGGAGCACTGAGCTTTAGAGTGAGTGATGCTAGAAAACCTTGACAGGATCTGTCTCAGCTCAAAAAGTCTTCGTGTTCTTAGGACTTGATGCTGACTCTGTCGACCCTCCTGCGTGGAACCCCTCAAGAAAAGCTGCACTGGGCCTTCAATTTGTACGACTTGAACGGCGACGGCGCCATTTCCAGGCCCGAAATGACCGCCATTCTGGCCTCGGTTTACGACTTGTTGGGATCTCACAGCCATCCTCCGGTGAGCAGTTTTCCGAGTAGGCCTCTGATCAGAATCCGTTTCCCCGCGCGAACGTATCAACTTTCAGCAGACTCTTCAGGCTGTTTGCATGATGCTTCTGCACAACATACGCTTCAGGCCTCGGTATACGCGGTGACGTAAAACTAACCATATCCGTCTCCAGCTGAGTTTGTCCAGAGAGCCACTCATACTATTGATTAGTTCCCCCCTTCCGAATATCTTCCATCAATCCTCGAATGCTTAAACCCTCGAAAAGGTCCGCAGGCGATACAAAAAAATCCTGCTGCCGCAATTTTCTTTCAGATACGGTGTATCAAAGAAAAGCCCTCGAGAATGAACAAGTGGTACAGTTGCTCAGGGGACCAGAATATAAATCTTTCCATCAAGAAATCTTTTGTCGAGAACCTGCATGTCCCATTTTTCCTATAGTAAGCCTCACCATACCTAAATTTTGCGATCTTCTCCGCATATCAGTCGACGAGTGCAGAAAATAAGTTCATGTCAATACCATAATTTCAACGAGAGAGTCCAAGTTAAAATTCTACAAGATAAAATCAACAACGAAATAGCTTCAAGAAAATAAAATCACAATTTAAAAATAATTGCAGAGAAAGGCTGAGAATTTGATAAGAATGGTCGTAAAATCGGAAAAAGGAGTGCAATGCTATCCGGTGCACTCGCTTTTGAAACTTGAAAGATTGGAGCTCTTTATAATGATGTGTTCTGAAAAATACGGTACGTTTCTATGAAATAAACTCTAGTAGTGCATTTTTGTGATCTGAAGTCGATGTCTTGTTTTCAGGAAAAAGTTGGGCATCAATATAAGGTCTGAAGGAACCAGAATACATTTCTTTGCGTTGAGAATATCGGTGAACAAGAAATAGATATTGAGAGTTCAGCTGAATAATTACGCAGGATTCTGTCTGGAGCGCTGTATCGATTTTTTTAAAGCCCCGTTTTTTTTTAAGCAGCATAAATAACCGGGATGAGAAAGAATATAATGCAGTAGTTCGTTGAAGCGAGACGCTCTATTTTTGGGTCACCGTGTATACACGGTCGTGGCGATGAGTTCGTCGCAATATAGCCGGAAACGCATCTGAACCACATGCAAACATCTTCCGCCGCTTTCTAATATCGTGCCGTAGTTTGTTCCGTCAACAGTAATCTATGCGCTTAGTCTAGGTCGAGGAAGAGAGAATTTTCCGTCTCCAAGTCAACTAGGTTATTAAAAGACAAGCATCGGCTGACTGCGGAAAGAAAAGGAGGGGAAAAAAGCCTCCTTCGAAGCCTTATTGGAATGCTAGTGGAAGGGTCGTGAATTCCGACGGGGAATATGTTCTCGCGAGAGCTTACTCAAACTTTTCGTCTTCTATAGTGAAGTTGCATTCAGTGAGAGGCAGGCAGTACTCGGACTTTCAGCTCACGGCTGTCCTTTGCGAAAACATGGAAGTGCAGAGAGAAAATTGCGGGAACCCCGGGGCCCGGTTCGGCCCGTGGTGACTAAAATCATCTCGGAGGGGGGTTCCGTCTCGTGTCATCCGCGATTATTTATGCAATTGCCTCCCTCATTTGCATTCGCTAACAGCTCCCCCGAAGCTGATGATCTCATCTGCATCAAGAAGTCACACGAGTACCGGATTGAGAATCTCAGCTGGTTCTTGATCTCTCGCACGCCGTATTTCCCGCCCGGGGAGGATAGTAAATCGGCCACCGTCAAAGCTGAAACGTAATAGTCGTCGCTTTACCCATACTTTTCCTACTTTTCGCCTAGATTTTCCACGTGGTCCGGAAGTATACACCTTCTGTACAGCCGATTTTATTCTTCTGCGGGACTGTGCGCCGGTCGTTTCCTCACATTGAAGGCAATTAATCTCAGGATGGGATAAAGCCATAAAGTAATTCCCTTATCCCTCCAGCTGTCCCCGCCTGGTTTTGCCCGAGTTGTAAATCCACTCCTTTGATGACTCGCAAAAGCAGTCATTTCAACTTTTTCCCAAGGATTAGCGCAAAAATCAGAGTCCTGGTGATTGACCCGCCGTATTTACTCAAATTTGAGACACATTTTTTTCTTCATGTTTTGACGAAAAAGAGCAGGATGCATCTAATCATTTATAGTGCTAAATTTTTAGATTCGTTCGCGGAATGCGTTAATACTACGAGTGCAGTACCACGAATCCGAATAATCATTACCACGCTGTAAAGCCTTGAACGCTGGGTAAATGTAATGATATGTAAACCAAGCGTAAAGAAGACCGGCTTTTCAGAGTAGGAAATTTGAAAAAGCACCTTGATGTTTTTCGTATTGGCGGTAGATTTTCCCGGAGTCGCATATTCGTTTTCAGTTACCTTGCAGTGCTCATTTAAATTGAAAATGAGTCAATGAGCCTTGGATTGAAAGTTTTCACTGCAATGCATCGCATTTGAGATGCTTTCAATTGCAAATTCATTTAGTTTTTGTCTATCCTAGAAGATTTAAAGTGCAGTTCACATGCTTCAAGTTGTTTTCAAATTTATGTGTAGAACGAAAGATGTCGCTTTAAATTATTGGCGTCTTTTACACCTCCCGCGATTATGCATTCTGCCTTCAAATTCCCATATACAGTAGTAAATTGAGCACCGAACACTTCTTGATGTTTGAAGGTACAGTAATTGGGGGAAACCCCGTGACCGAAAAAACGAGGGAAATCTCGGGAAGCTCGAATATTCAGGTAGTTTCCAGAACAGGTGGGAGGATGGGTTTTCGGGCAAGGATGATACTTTTTTTTCTCAACAGGCGCACCGTCCCTTTGAAGCTTTGAAGTTTAGTAAAGTTTTGATAAATTTCATTAGCGTAGTTTGAAAGTTACCGTACTTTTGACTTTTTTATCTTCGCGGAATTTCCATCTTCATAGGCAGGGTACTATATTGACTAGCGAGTGGAATCCCTGGCAAAGAAGCGATCGAAATGTGTGGCATCCGCCGTAAATGCCTGATTTTGTGCATTCAAAAATGTCGCGAGTAACGTTGTTGGTAGATGATTCGCGCTGCTTTGCTCAGGAAATCTGCTCACGATTTTCGCGTAAACTAGACCTTAGCAGTTGGTGGTTCCCTGCTCAACTCAAGAAGCTTGCTCGGTAGGCCGTGAATTTCCCTCTTTTCGAGTGGTTATTGAAGCCCGGGGCAACAGGTGCATCCCTAGCGGATTCCCAGTGCCGCCCTGGGACAAGGTTGGAGTTGCGAAGTCGTAGAGAGCGCCGGAGTTGTTATTGCTGCGTGATAAAGCTTCCTGTCTCAGGAAAAGAGTAATTGTGGCATAGCCGCGAATGGACTCCATATTTGCTCAAATAATCCTGCGCCTCGGAGCCGAGGAGACGAAATCCCAGCTTGGTGTTCCATAATGCTCCCCACTTTTTCGCTCGTCCCGCTACTTTTCTGCTGCGGGACGCTGCCGGTGCTTCCGCAATAATGAAGAGAAAGAGGGTCTTGAGTTGAAAATTACTGTATCCGGTCGTAGATTTGGTTTCCGGAGTATATCTCCATTTGTGCCTTTGTCGCCTGGAAAGTGCTCTCCTTGCACTGCCGCCTCTCCGGCTACCCTCGTCTTGGGTAGTTGGGGCGGACATACAGTACTTTACCGTCTGAACTCTTTCTAAGTCATTGAATTAGGAGCAGCGGGTTTTCGTGCATCCGTTTGGAATCCGGATTTCACTGATCTCGGTCGCCTCTTTATTCGATCCCGTACATTTTCATCGTCTTTTCTTTCTTTCTTGAGCTTTTTTCGTGGCCTTTCCACTTGAACACCCCGCAAAATCCTCCCGACATCAATAAGACGCCTCAAGCGTTGTGCTGGCACGTTTCCTTATCTCCAACGAAAGGTTTAAAATAAAGTTTCATGGTTGGCTAAAAGCTCGTTTTTCATTCCATCAGCATTAAATGTTCAGATGTATTCCTCGGACACTGTGCTTTCTAAAACTGAAATTATTAATCAATTAACGAGAAACTACAGATAGCGTCGTATAAGCGATTACAGAGATTTCGATTGGAAATTTAATGGATTGATATACATGTAGTCAATTATGATGCCGTATTTCAACTCTACAGACTTTTAAAATATTTAGAATGAAACGTTCATTTTATCTTCCCGTTTAGTGAGGTATGAGCAGAGTGATGATTCTGGAAACATTTACATAAAATTTCAAGAAAAATTATAGCGTTGCAAAATTCGTACGCCGTATTCTGAAAATTTTGGAAATTTAAAGCTTAAACAGTAAGCATTTTCGTTCAATTCTCCGCGGAATTAGGCGATGCTTTTATTAAAAAAATATGGAGATTATTTGGAAAGAGGTTATACCGTACTTCAGTAAATTTAACTGTATATTCCCATCTCTCATTCTTGTCTTATTTTCCCGGATGTGGTTTGATTGAAACTTAGTTTTGCGTTACTTCTGACATTATTGCGGGGACATTTCCGGCTTCTTCCTGATGCCAGTTTTTATTTTCGTGATTCGTGTTGTCTGCCAGAAAATTGAATGTTGGGGTTTTCAAGTGGAAAGATTTTTTTTGGCTTTTTGAATTGATCTCAGGTAATGCGTACTCTTACATTCTCCGCCGATCCGCCTACTCCATTTATTCCTATCAGAAATTCGGATTAACATGCTCTTCTTTATTCCATAGTTCGGTGATAGGAATGTTCACGATCACGTGGAGAGAATATTCCGCCAAATGGATCAAGATCGTGACGGGGTCGTGAGCCTGGATGAATTTCTCGCTGCTTGCATGAAGGTGCGTGACGTCATTTCCTCAAATTCGCTCTGGTTTGCCCAAGCGTTCGTTAACGATGCTGCAGTTTTCATGGAATGTGCTTATTAAAATTTCCTTTGCATTCTCACTCGAGATTTATGAGACTAATGCGAAAAACCCATGATAAATAACGCTGGAATAATAACTCTCACGTCTCCGTTTCCGGATTGGAACTGACTGATGGACGCTAAATTATTTTTTATGTGATCCTCGTCTTGCCATCTAAAAAGCGTTTCTTACAAAAATGTGAAGCTGAACCCATTTTCCTTTTCACTGTAGCACAGTTGCCTTTTTATACCGTATTTTCTGGATTCAGGATTCAGAGGATTGTTCGCGTGTTATATCCACATTTTTAAAGACTACCATCCAACTTTACCCGATGCTTTACATGCCTGTATATAGCAGATTTTTAAATTATAAATTCAAGTTTCCCCTTAATTTAAAGTTGTTAAAAGCATGGTTCATTGCAACAATACAACAATCGTATTCTAATTGGATGCCCCTTCTTTAGTTTTGGCTGTAACTAAAAAAAAGTAGCGAGTAGATTTCTGTCTACTTCTATTGATTTTTTTCAAGTGTGGATCAACTTGTTTTTTTTTTTTTGCCTGCAATTTTACATCTAATCACATAAAATCATTACCTATCGACCAATGTGCTACAACGAATCTCACTCGAAGTACGAACTTGACGCCGAGATTATTTTCCCCGTTGAAGCACTTCATTAAAGTGAAACTGTTTATTAAAAGTTAGTATCTCCTTTTTATATACTGTGAGTTGGAGAGGGGTCGTGGGAACCGTAGATCAGCCTCCTGTTAGCATTCAGGAAACTGCTTATTAACTTACTTAACCGGTTAGATTTTCAGCGGTAGATTACATAAATTATGCCCACGTGATGAAGCCGGGGAGTCGTAGCTGGAAAATTTAAACAGTAGCGGGCGGCAAGTTCGGACAAACCAGGGATTATTGCATTCGGGGTACAAGTATACGAGCTGCTCATGGCCCGTTTACCTCTGGCATTTCCCGGGGCCAGAACCCGAATGAATCCAAAAATTAAGCCCACCTAACGACCCATCAACCCAGCAGATGTGGGCTGATTATAGAATGCCGCGTAAAGCGTCTTGGGGAAGGACTGGGTGAAGTTGTTTGATTGATCGATAATTCTGCTGGTGTTCGCGACAGGACGAAAACGTGAAGGAATCGCTCAACGTCTTCAGCGACCATGTGTGAAGCCTGTGATATTTACCGATTTGACGGCGAGCGGGACACAGTCCGCTACCTTCTCCCTCCATTCGGAGCAGGCTGTGGACAAATACGTGCAGCCCTGGAGAGCATCTGAAGATTATGACGGATCCTGCGGAACCAAGGGGTTCGTCACTGGACGCGGACAGAATGGAGCATTTCGCCTACGCAGTTTATCAAGAACTGTTCCCCGAATGGTGGGTGTCTTCTTCTTGGACAACGGCTATCTGGAACAGACCCGAAGCTCGGGTTCGACACGTACTGCGAACCCCGTGCAGACATTTCCAGGCCCGGAAGGCTTCCAGCGTTCCGCCCATTATTCGGCAGGAAGCTCTTCCATCCGTGCTTCGAGTTTCGTATACTGTACGGATTTAAATGTGCGCTCTCTCGCGGAAAATGCTCCCCTTTTCTACACGCCTGGCCAGCAAATCCATAACTGGCGACTACAGTATATGGATCCTCGAGAGCTGTTCAATTCTTCTTTGACCGAAAAAATAATGTATGGCCTACGTTATTACTGGACCGTTGATGCCTTTGATTGAAAATTCTGTCTTCGTGACTTCCGAGAGATCGCGCGTAATTTCCTCCTGCAACTTGAGAATCCAAGTTTATTGGCAAATTTCTGAGTCCGACTCCTACGAACCACGGCGGGATCAAGAAAAAAATCTAACTTGCAGAGAATTTTCGTCTCTTGCAGCCCTGAGTTCAGGAACGGCTTTCCCACGAAAATTCATTTCATAGCGATCACCACATAATTTTAATAATCCGAAAATTGCCGAGCTCAGAGCAATTTTTTCATCGGAACGTATCTGATATTAGCATTGAAAATATTTTCCTGGAATTGAAGTATGTTGCTTAACTAGACTCGAATCACTGCTTGCAAATTCATAAAATATCCGTGTGTGGCAATTGAACTCAATTTCCTCATCGTGATGTGGAGCACTTTCAACACTCTATATTTTCTCCACGTACAGTACTTCAGGATGGGGCGGGCAATGATTGAATAAGTGTCAAGGAAGGATCAAAGATCGCTTTGTTGAAATTGTGTTTTGTCTTCATCACAAGACTTTTGAACCAACCCTCGTACGTTGACATCGAGAAAACTTTTATTTTCACCAGAATGATGTATTTTTTGCCCCGCTGTCGGAAGAAGATGGCTTTGTTCTGCTCTAGTTCATTCCAGGGCCTGCATTTTGAACACTTCGTTTGCGTTCCTCCCTCTGAATCAGATCCTTTAACGATAATCTTCCCGATCGCCGAATTTTGCAGATGATTGACGTTTAATGCAAATTTGCCAACTGACGCATGGAAAACACGCGATGATTGAGTTCGGTTAGGGGAGCATTTTCCAATTCGGAACAGGTTTCCGTGTAGTGTATCCCCGCATTTTCCGAGATGTCTTCACGTCAGTGCATGTGATGTCGAATGTTCCCAGTTTTCGGCAGAAGAATCTGGATGGCTGTGCCCGGGCACCGACCTGCTCCTTCCGCGCATCGAGAACGAGAATTGCGGTCAAAGCGCTTTTCCTTCATGCTTATCGGAATTCGCGGAAAGAAAGGTTTTTTTGGGTCATGAATGTCATAGGCGTAGTCGTGAGAACTATCTGAAGCTGTTCACTGAGTGCCAAGCACTTCTTTTTTTTTTTTGTTGCGCCGTCACCCCAGGCCGTAAACTGAGGAAACATTAATGGAAGCTGAACATGCGGGATTGCTTGGGATGCATTTGCCGGAAGCATGCAGAGTCACCCATGCGTAGGGTCGCAGTCTCGTGTTTCACTTCGTTGAACATTTGTTAGCCATGATTCTTGGGGATATCGAGCTTCTTCATAATGCCCTGGACGATGGCAAGCTGGTGAAAATGGCAACAAGGAAAACAGTGGCGGACGGACAGAGTTCGCTGACCGGGAGGCTGGAAAACTCGGTCAGCTTCTGACTAGTTCAGTTGACATTGGCGATCAGTTCATTACGCCATCACGAGTCGCACGACAGGCATCCTTCTCTCGCTATTTCCTGAGTGTTCCAACGAATTATGACTGTTTAAACATTGACTAACTGTTCCAGAGGTTGGGAAATAAACCTGGTTGGTCACGTCCCTACTTTTGATCAATGGTTTCAAACGACGATGGTTTTCTTTCATTTTTTTTAAAGGCCTTCCAGGCTCGAGATTTATGTTCGAAGAAGGGGAAAAGTCAGGAGATGAGGAGGTCTCACAACTTTTGAAATTTCACCGTGCAAAAAGAGGATATTTGACGATTTTTAGAATTTGCGAGCATATTTGCAAAAAATCAACTGCAAAGACATATTCTCAAATACTTCTACTCCAGCGAATTTATGCAGGGAAAATTTACATTTATGGTGAACATTGACGTTCTTTGAATTTCAGCATTCCTTCTATATATTTCAAAGCTCCCATAGCCTCCATTGTGAGTCCATCATCAATCTTGCTGAATTAGTGATCAAAATGTTAGATATTTTCTGAATTCTTAGCATTTTGTAACTGCGCTCATGGTGACTAAATATTCCATTATCTTCGACGCACGGGATGTTCTCTGGTGAATAACCGGTTTTTTGTCAATCTTTCTTGGTTAATGAAAATGCAGATGACATACACGTACAGTATTTCTGCATTTAATAAATTTTCGCAGCTGTTGTCATGTAAGGTTAAAAGCTTTCCGTTTGCTAACATGCTCTGCGTACGTTTTTTTTTTTTACCGGTGATGCTATCTGGAAATTCTTCCCTCGTTGAAAAACAATGGCAACCAGTTCAAGAGGCTCCGCATTGCGAAGTACAGGTGGAGACACTATCACAACGAAATGCAACTGACCAGAAAAAAATTATCTGCTGTAGAGAGAATATCGTTGTGAAGAACCCCTAAAACAAGGGGATAATACCATGTGGAACCAAAAATAAATTCATTATATACTGTACAGACAATTTGTTTTAACGAGCTCGTTGTAAAGAGAGTCACGTTTCTTGTCGACTCGTGGCGTCAGTATGAATAACATGTACTGTGTTGGGGGGAAAATTGTCTACATCCTTGCATTTCCAGCATCAGCAACAACGACGACGAATGATACAATTAAAAGATCGAAACCATTCAGAGCCCCCGAGCGAGTTTGCAACACTTGAGGCTTTTAATGCCATGTTCGTCCCGTTGGAAACCAATCGCAGCGTATCCGAATCTGCACTCGACTTTCCAGTGTGAATATGGATCATAACTGCCTCCCGAGTTTCCGCTGGTGGATTCTTCTTCGCACGTATCACCATGAAGGTGACCACGGGTGAGTTTCGAGCAGATTCCTTGCTTCACTTCGAAAGAATCAGGCGCTCCTCCCGCGGTTTTTTCCACTCCTGTGGAAATATTTCAATGGTATCTCAAAGCGCTCGAAGAAAATACTGTACACATTTTCATCATGCCCATTCCGATTCATAAGGAGGTGTAGGCAAGGTTAGCAAAGGACCTACGAGTGATTTTTTAATTATCATCTCATTGAAGAACACATGCTTGCGTACTTATTGAGAATCGAAGAAGGCAGAAAAATTATTGTACTGGCAAATGGGGAAATTTAAAATAGCTGCTGCGGGATCAATAGGGTCACTTGCAACACAGTCAATTCTCAGAAATGAAAAATATACAGTACTACTGGACCAAGGCCATTGATACAAGATTAGACAGAATTTTATGACTCATTTGCATGACGTGGAAGAGGTTTGTGTCTATTGGCATGCGGGGAACACAAATTTTGATAAAATAGATTTCAGCAGAATCCTTCAGATTTCGATAATTACTTGTCAAGACGAACTGATCAGGACACGCCAAAATTCCCTCCGAGTCAAAGCTGACTGTTTCGGTGATCTTAGGATTCAGCTCAAAATAAACGTCGTCTTCTGCACTGGAATCCCTGGATTCATGACTGTCATACAAGTCATCCAAGTCGGTGTCACCTCTGACACACTTCATCAATCTCATGTTGTCAAACGTCTCTTGATCATTGGCCCTGAAATTAGAAACATATGTTGCTGGTTTGAATAAATACATTTTCACCTGACGTCGGTTCTTATCCGCGTGTAACTCCCTGAGAAAAATGTATCTGCTTCAAAATTATGCATCAAATTGATGCACTAATATGGCAATTTTTTTAAGGGATGTTCCAACGTTTTCCGAATTTTTAACAAAATTTTAAGCTTACTCCTAGTACTCGGAGAGAAACCAAGAATAGGCAGAAATCTGAAGAAGATTTTTACCCCGAAAAAACTTGAATCGCAAAAGAAAATTAGACGTTTACTCCAGCTGTTTCAGAATAATTTCAGTTCTTGAGATTCCCTCTCAACTAGATTCTTTGCCGTAACTTTGGGTTCATATGCTAATTCCTCACTATAACTTATTGCTTCGTAGTTGAAAACAGTTTTAAATGCGCTTTAGACATGGGGCTTTGCAATTGGTGCCACACAAGCATTTTAATGCATTTGTGCGTGATTTTACAATCATCGACTCTCAAGGAGTGTTAAATTGCAACAAGTAGCAAGCGGAAATCTCTCAAGTAAAATGCAAGCATCGTCCTCACTTTTATTAAAAAACCAATAGTCTCATTATTTCTGTGAAGTGATTCTATCTAGAAAGAAAAGAAAACCTGCAGGAAAGTAAAACGTCTCAGAATATTCGCCAAAGTCACGGCGAACCTTCGGAATTAAAAAAAAAAACATTAAAATTGTAATCATTAACCTTATGCCGATGACGTAGCCCGGGGTGAGACGAGGGTCGAGGAATTTGGGGTCGTTGCAGTCGGCAGCGAAAATATCACCAGTCTCAGTGAATCTTGCCACATAATTGCGAAAATCATCCCGGTCAAATGGCGTATCGCGGTCCACCGCCGACTTCGAAGGCTTGATCCTATGGAATTTCCTCTGCTGTTCACCGAAGGACATTGGCAAATCGTGGAACTGATCATTGCATCCAGTGCTCTGTCAAATGAGAGCAAAACTTTAATACGTACTTGAATAAATCGCGTGAGTATCTGCCAAACCAACGGTAATTAGCAGAAATATGCCACACTTTCCACATGATTTGTTTTCCAAGGCTTGCAATGGTTTGGAACTAAATTTGTCATGGAATTTATTGCAATCACCCAGGGGCCACCTCAACAAACAAGTTTTCTTTATTTCCTGGATGTCAACTAGAACGAAGTGCATCGAAAGCATTCTTACACAAACGTTCATGGGTAGGCTAAAAACCCGTCAGTTAAATTCACTTTACATCTTTTCTGATCAAGAACTTCCTCACTGAATTCATCCGATGCTGGCAGAATATCAGAAAAACTCAAATTAAATCTGCTGCAGAATTGACCAAGTACAGGTAGAATTTTCTCTGAACTTTATGCGCGATTCTCTCCCCCCCCCCCCGAGATTTCTCAGAATGAAGTACATTATATGAAAAATGATTTCTGCAAACGTGATTATTATTACGAAACATTCTATTTCAATCCTTGCTTAAGTTGGCCCATTCGGAACCTAAATATATTATGAAGTTATCATAAGTACACACATCGTAACACACCACACAAGCTGCTAAGCATTTGAAAGTATCATGCCTTCCATCAAGTTAATTTTGGAAGAGATTCTTTCTGTGCTATCTGTACAATATTCTTTTCTCGAGAAGTGTTTCGAAATCAGAATCATCGAACCAAGAATTGATATCATGGGTGGACGCAGAAATCCGCATAAGTTTATTTTCAACCAATTTCATTTCTCGCCTCGAGTATTTGGTCAAGTATGATGACACAAAATAGCGGAAATTAAGTGAAGAATTTTTTTTTCAAGACAGACTGGAAAAGGATCAATGTTAACCGGAAAGTAGCAAAGTGGACCCCAGACAAGACGGACGAATAATCTGTTTTACTCACTCTGGATGGAAGCGCAAAGGCAGCGCAAATTGCTCCAAGTAGCAACACAACGGTGAAGAAATGCATGTTTGATTTAAATTTCCTCCGTCACAGTCACGAACACAGAAAAATTCGAATGATGGGCAGGGAAGTCGGAAGGCATAGCTTTTATACTCAGGTCCAACAATGTTTACAGCCACCCGCACCCCTCGAACCCCGTGCCCTTCATGATCAATGCGGTTCATCTCGGGTTGCAAAAAAAAAAAAAAAAAAAAAAAAAACCTTTCCAGCCTCAACAAGTTTGTCAGGGTGGATGTTTTGCTGTCCCGTTATATGACCAGCACTCACTGGTGAATCATAGGACGCGTATATACATCGTGATTTCCTCATGCAATTCAATTTTTCACACTTTCAAACCACATTGCAAGCAGAATTACATCAGATGATTCCAACGCATTCTCAGAAGATTTCCGTTCTTCCACTTGATCTATAATTTAAATTATTCTCCCAAATCCACATTTTCGCGACTGATGACGGATAAGAATAAACGTGGGCCAGTCAGAACATCACGGTCATCGATGCCTGATTGAAGACTCAAATTTAGAGCAAACGAGTTTTTTTTCGAAGTTTCCTACCAGCTCGAAAACTGAGTGATACTTCCAGTGCACGGAGTTCCTTTTGGGTGGCGGGGGGGGGGGGGGGGGGGGTGGGGGACCTGAGGTGCATCTTTTTGCAATGAACAGATGAACTTATGAAAAGCAACTGGGTTTGATGATATCGCAGAAGAAAGATCCAGCTGTGCCTGATGGTGGTGGAATCTTCTCCATCTCTGAACTTCTGGGGATTTTCCACTACTTAGCATAGTCGGATGGGTTGTGGGGCAACAGTTCATTGGGAACGTTTTTTTAACAGAGTACCGGCCTTGGGGTCATCTTTCAAGGGGGGGATGTCCTTCCTCGTCCATGATTTCCAGCATGATTTTGATTTTTTTCCCTCCTGGTCAGAGATTGAAATCTTTAAAGAGCCCTTTCCTTTAAAAAAAAGTATTTGCTT